ACGTTGGACAACACTGGTCTAGTCATAAGTACTGTTCAATAAGTTCCGTTACTTCGCAGCGCGTGTTTTTTGTATCAGTTTGTTGAAATATTGCATTCTTTAGAGGTGATCATTCAAATGGCACATTTTTTGAAAGTGAATATTTGTTTGCAAAAAAAATATCAGACGTGACTTTTTATTACGAATTAATGTATTGTCGTTACATTATATCAGATTTAAAATTTTGACATTCTGAAAAATGCCGCCCCCCAAATAGTGCCGCCTTAGGCCCGGGCCTCACGGGCCTAGGCGGTAATCCATCACTGCTCGTATCATACTCGTGCAGTAGGTTTCTAATATACTATTTGTGACCAATAGTAAAGTTGCCAGTTGCTCCTTCTCTTTCTATTTCCATACCAAGGAAATGCTTCAGCTGACCGCCATCGACGCTTGACGCTTTTGTTGAGTGCTTTCATAGATGTGGTGGCAGCAATCAAATCGTCAACAAAACAATGAAATAAACTTTTAAGAAAAATTACGTCACGTGCTACTGCTACCTTTCATGTACTCGAATGATGTTATGTCCTCTAGCTTCTGTCCAGGGGCCTTTATCCAGACCAGCATGTATAATCATACCGCGCGCCATTTCAACCAATGGTCTGTTCGGTTGAGGTGTGTACGGTACAGTAACCTGCCTTTAATACCGTTGTTTCCCAAAAAATTTTCAAACGCGCCTCTCAAATACTTACTTTTTGTCCAGCTTCTCAGAGAATGTCTTGTTGAACACTTTAAATTTTTCGAATATTTCATCACGAATTTTGAAGGCACTTACATATGTGTATCGCGATTTATCGTCAATGAATGTTACAAAATATCGCGCTGCTCTTTGTGAGGATTGATTCATTGATCCACAAATGTCTATATGCACGTCTTTCGAGCGATTTTCAGTTTTCTTTGGAAATAGTTTTACGCATATCTTACATTTTGCACAGATTTCACATATATGTTTCTTCAAATCACTGTAAACTTTTACTTTTTTTGCAGTCAAATTAGACTGTGCACCAAGACACTTATTGTCGTTTGTCTCTAATAAAAACAAATCTTGCTGCTCCGGTGCAAAATCACCGTTAGAACATGCGAACATTGAGTATGACTTTTTCGACCTTTGTTGTCTCTCTCGTTTTCGTTGTCTTTGACGCTCTCGTTTTTTTCGCTGAACTTTTTTTTGGCAATTCTTTGAAATGTGTCCGCTCGGCTGATTTTCGCCTCGCAAGGAGACCATTTTTGCTCTCCTTGTTGTTGAGCAATTTAATTTTTAACGCACTTAATGTCAGCAAAGATTCACGAGATTCCATTGCTACCACGGAATTATCAAAGGCGTAGATCAAGCTTGGCAACGACAGTATGCACAAACACTACGGGCAGTGTAAAACCAATCTCATTTTTTAGTCAGATCTCTGAATTTCTCTAAATGCTTAGGCACATTTTCAGATTCTGACGATTTTAGATGTAATAATTGTGTTAATAATGTAACGCGGCGTGCAGGTTCCTTAGGTATATGAACTTCTTTTAACCTTTCCCACGCACTAGCTGACGTTTGGCAGTTCTTCACATTATTTATCTTCTTCGTCTCATACGGTGCGACCGAAAACTACGGTCCATAATTCTGCATGTATGAGCACGCTTTTCATTTGTACGACACACGCGCTGTAATTGGTGTCATTCAGCTTCTCAATCGAATGCATAACGTAATTCATGTTGTCGTCCAACGCGAAATTTCACTAGTCACTTTCACTTAATAGTTTTTTTCACAATTCTAATTTAGGATTTTCTATTTTTATTGAATTTAACACACTTCTTTGCATTTATTAATCAGCCGTTTTCCAGTACTATTATATAATAAAATTTTAATTTACTCTATTTTTTCGAAACTCGCCTGGGCCCATAACTCCCTAATCCTACAGTTTATTTCAGACTGAAGGCTAAGTTAGAATATACGCATATATAAAACCTTGTTGTTCGCAGGCAACGGGATTTTACAGTTACGAATATTGCGTTACATATATTATTTCTAACAGATACTTTAGTTTACTGAATGTTTTTTTATTTTTATTTTTTGTATATTTATTTCGGTAGACTTACTTTATCTTGAATTTTATGAAGTATCTAATCTTTTCCAAATGTTTTTAAATTGCTCCAGATCCTCCCTAGAAAGTTACCTTTTTGTTTTTATTTGTTCTGCATAAACAGTTATTTTTTTCTATTACCTTGTAAGGGTTCAACGAGATATGTTTCTTGGAATGAATTCGTACATCACATGTTAGCTACTGGCGAAGTTAAAGAACTCATTATACGCCCGGATATGGAGATGGTAACGATTATTTTACATGAAGGTGCCATAATTAAAGGAAAAAAGGTTACGTCCACAATTTTCCACATGGCTATAGCCGATGCATCTAAGTTTGAAGAAAAATTGCGGGAAATCGAATCAAGGCTTGGTATTACTGAAGGCAAGTACATATGAACAGGATGAAAAAAAGCCTGGTAAATAATAATATTTATTTTACAATTATTATTAATAAATAAAAATTTAATTTGGTACATATGGCTAGTGCGATTGGTAAAACTAATCCAAAGAACTGTGCAGCAATATCGCTGAATACTATGTTCGTAATATCAGAAATCATAATAAAATATTTAATTAAACTCATACGCGCTGATTAATCTTAGAAATAGACATATGGATACCTTACTTCAAATAAGCTGATTTCCATACCCGCCAAACTCTAAAAACCGGAATAACGTATTTTTTGTAGACAAGAACAAATTATACCTGTTTAAATCTGACGGATAGAGCTATGTTATTATATTTATATCTAGCTTAATTAATAATACTTAAGGGGGTATTCTAGAGGCTCGAATTTCGAGCTTTTTTCAACAATTAATATAAAAGAAGCACTAGATATTTTTATTATCCGTTTTTTTTATCATTTGTTTATTAAACTTAGAAGAGTACAAAATAAATTTAAAAAAAAATAGTTTTTCATCGAGTTATGCTTCCTTGAAAAAAGAGGGGAAAAACGAGGCCGTGTCCTTATCGCCATGATTTCTACAATTTCGTCATCTGAAAAATAAAACAGTGACAGATTTTTAATGAGCACGAATGTCGCTATGTCATGAAGCAGCAAAGCATAAAATGGCGGCTACTCAAAAAAAGATCGATTTTTTTACTAATTTTTAAATTTTGTCAATTTTTTTTAAATATTATAAATTTCAAATTTTTGTTTTTTGTTGCTTCCAATGATAGAGATATATTTAAAGAATTTTGATGCCATGAGAAAAACGCGTTTAAAGTTGTACGTTAAGTTTCGGGCAACGTAATAGATATATAAATAGTTCGCTCAACCGGTCTAGTTGCCACGTCACTAAAATGACTATAACTTTGAAAATAATTTGAGTTTTGAAAAATCCTTTTAGGGAGATATTTTTGAATATCAAAACTATCGAATTATGAAAAAAAAAATTTGGATTTTTTAAAATTTCTAGACTAGAATACCCCCTTAATAATTTATTAGTTTAGGGAAAACTAGCATGTATCCATTCGTATTTTATATAATGAATTTAAAATAGTACATACCTGCATAACAATTGTATGCATTTTCAATGTTAGGTGTTGCTGTTACTTATGATAGACATAGTGATATTACTGGACGTATAATGGTGTTAATTTTGTTCTTCGCATTGCTTATGTCGATCGCGTCAAGAATGAAGGGTGTCCGAAGTCCTATAAGCATGGATTCTTTTGTGAGTTTTTTATTTTAAAAAATCACATCATACATTTAATAATTATTGAATAGTCTCAAATGGGTAGAGCGAAATTTACTCTAGTCGATCCTTTTGAAGGAGGAAGAGGAGTACTTTTTAAAGATGTTGCAGGCCTACAGGAGGCCAAACAAGAAGTGAAAGAATTTGTTGACTACTTGAAAGCACCACAAAAGTATCAAAGATTAGGAGCAAAAGTGCCCAAAGGGGCTTTGCTACTGGGACCACCTGGTTGTGGAAAAACATTGTTGGCGAAAGCCGTCGCGACTGAAGCTCAAGTGCCTTTCCTAAGTATGAACGGATCGGAGTTCATTGAAATGATTGGCGGTCTGGGAGCAGCAAGGGTACGAGATCTTTTTCAAGAAGGCAAGAAACGAGCTCCATGCATAATATATATTGATGAAATCGACGCAATCGGGCGGCAGCGATCTGGAACTGAAAGCATGGGCCAAGGTAGTTCTGGCGAATTAGAACAAACATTAAATCAACTTCTCGTGGAAATGGATGGTATGGCATCCAAAGAAGGAGTACTTATGCTTGCAAGTACCAATCGTGCTGACATATTAGACAAGGTAACTAACAATACTACACATATCTATGAAAATAAGCATTATTACAAATATATATATTAGGCATTACTTCGACCTGGTAGGTTCGATCGCCATATACTGATTGACTTACCCACTTTACAAGAACGTAAAGAGATTTTTGAAAAACATTTATCTGATATAAAATTGGATTCTAAGCCTGCGCAGTTTTCGGGAAAACTTGCCAGATTGACACCAGGATTTTCAGGCGCTGATATTGCTAATGTATGTAACGAAGCTGCTTTACATGCTGCCAGACAGTGTCAAACCAAGGTATCGGCATCAAATTTGGAGTATGCCGTTGAGCGACTTGTAGGTAAGTTCATTTCCATTGACAATATTGTATTACCCCCAATGGTATATGCCTATCTCTTATGCATATTCCTCAATAACATTTGTTTTGTCGTGCCTATAAATTTAGTGTGCCGCGCGTTCTCTCCATAGCACTTTGAATTTAGCAATGATGTATATGATATAATAATACAACTGCTAAATATTTGGAATAGAATAGAACTGTAACCAAATACACAGTGCAATGGATTATAACTGGCTCAGTAATCAGTCTATGAATATTATACAACGTGCATCGCAAAAGGCTGATGTCATAACCTTGCCAGCCAGCTTTTTCGTCTTTCAAGACCGGCTCATCATATCACTATAATGTCTGTCGATTGGACTCCAGTGTAAAATGATGGAGCCGTATTTCTGTTGTCACACACCGACCCAAAAATTCGGTCTTATTACGATTAAAGACCATTCAAACTCTCCTCAGAGACCTCAGAGTTAGCAATACGTTTTTTTTGTTAGATTATAAACTTGCGATACACCAATTGTAATCATTGTTCTCGGTGCTCATTTCGCCTCTTTCCAACTAAGCAAAACTCTTTTCAACGGTTGATCTCCCTGAACAGAGCCCAAAATCAATAGTATTTTCCCTCAAAACGCAATGCTTTATTAACACATGAAATGCTTTTATAATCCATTTTTTTCTAAACTAACAAAAGTTGCTTCACAAAAATGCTTAATACATAATCAATTAATAGCCAGTAAATTCACTACTATTCTGGATTACTTTACTTATTGGTTTGGGCACACTACTGATTAAAGTATAACAGGTTTCTTTAGCTATCTGATACCAAGTGTGCACTTCCATAACTGGTTTTTGGTGAAGAAAGATTGATTCTCCAATTTTTTTTGTAGTTCTCCCCATAGGTTTTCTATTGGATATAAATTCAAGGCTACTTCAGCACGTTAACATTATTGTTTTCAAAATATTTCTTAACCTATTTTTGTCATGATCTTGCTGATATACCCAACGTAATGTCCTGCTAAAAGCACAAAGAGATTTTTAATAAAATAAAAAAAGATTCCATTATTCACTATGATGTAAATTTCATAAGTCTTAATAAATATTGAAACAAAATAGACATAAGTTAATTTGGATCCAATTATATTTATATTAGAATACTTCGAAGCATGGTATATCCACACGCCTTAAGTTCTTTAAAATTTTTAAAGGTGTTTATTTGCTGGTCGCTTCAAATGGTTAACTGAAATATTTGTTATTTGAATAATTTGTACACACATTTTAAATTTATCCCATCAACTAATTATTATTTTTTGCATTTTCAAAATTGAGGTGGAACCGAAAAACGATCACATGCACTTTCACTGGTGGAAAGAAAAGTTGTTGCTTATCATGAATCCGGGCATGCTCTTGTTGGTTGGCTTCTCCCCAATTCTGATATATTACTAAAAGTGACAATTGTGCCCAGAACAAGTCTTGCCTTGGGATTTGCACAATATACACCAAGCGAACAGAAGCTGCATAGCAAGGAAGAGCTTTTTGATAAAATGTGCGTTGCGCTTGGCGGCAGGGCTGCTGAAAATATAATCTTCAATAAAATTACTACTGGAGCACAAAATGATTTAGAGAAAGTTACGAAAATCGCATATGCTCAGGTACAAAAGTTAATAGCAATTTGTATGAGTATGAAACTCACAATTCCACACTGAATAATATTTTAAAACTTAACTTTTAATATGCCCAGATAAAAAAATTTGGAATGAATGCAAATCTAGGGCCAATATATATAACAGACGCAGAGGAAAGCGGAAGTTTCAATCACCCATTTTCGGAAAACCTGCACAGGATTATTGACAAAGAAGCTCAAAATCTAGTAAGCAGTGCATACCAGAAAACAGAGGAACTATTGAAAAAAAACTTGGATAAATTAGAAAAAGTATAACGGAAACTTATTCTCATTGCCACTATTTTATTCCTCTTTTATTTTCAGATGGCTGAAGCGCTGCTGGAGAAGGAAACTTTGTCTTATGATGAAGTAGTTACTCTGATCGGACCACCAGCTTACGACGTTGCAAACAGAGCGTTAGAACCTGTTGAGTTCGAAAAGTCTTTAAAAAATCTAGGAGAAAAAGATGAGTAATTTGAGTGAATTACTTAGTGTTGACATTTTAAAGTTTTGTGAATAAAAGTTTTCAAAAAACATTTTTTTAAAGCTATTAATACGAAAAAGATATCTGCTTTTGCAAAATGTGGATATAAGAGATACAAGAGAGGGGACATTCAATCTAAATTTAAGTGCATTTTTTTCGGAATACACTACTTGTATGGATTTGTGAAAACACTATGGTGGTATCACAAAAATAGTATTTGAGCCCGACTCATTTAAAGGGGTCATCCTCTGACGGCCTTTTTTTTTAAAGGTTTTTCGGGATTTTTTATAGCGAAATAATAAAACAGAGCTTTTGAATTTTTACTATATATTATACATGAGCCAACACCAATTTTCATACCAACACCAAACAAAAGCAATCAGCCGCCCGGTATCAGAAAAACCACTAATAGTTAAATAGAAAAGCTCGAAAATTAAAATAGTTGTGCAAGGCGTGAATGGCAGATAAATCCCTCTCCTTCGTCTTAGTTTCAATTGCAATCTGCTGCACGTAAATAAAAAAGTGCCTAAACTTGAAGAAGAATTCAACATTAAAATTGATATAAAGAAGCTGTCTTTGGAAAGCCCAAAAGTTCATGAAGCTATCAATTGACTCCAACATGCCTATATGAGACTTGGGTGGAAATTGGGGTCGAAGTGACGAGGGAAAAGCTAATTGTTTTGCAAATCACTTAGAAAAAGTATTTCAACCTAATTCCCCAAAGAACAACTTTAAGCTATCCAGTTTTCTTACACAGCTAACGAGTCGCTTGAGCCGTTTAAGAGTTCACCTTCTAAAATTTTTAGTATCACAAAAGAACTTAACCCAAAAAAGTCGCCGGGACATGATAATGTTATCCCAAAAATGTGAATTGAGTTACTAAATAGTCCTGTAGAGGTGCTCTGAGTTTCCGATACTATCTAATTTGATGGAAAAAATCGCAGATTATCTTATACAGACCAGTCAGTCTTCTTGAAAATATCCAAGAGTCCTTGATGTTCCTTATTAAAGAAAGATGTAGAAGACAGACAGACAAGAAAAGATACGCCTGCGTACTAAAAAGCAACGTATTCCCAAAACAGCTCAATCACTTGGTTCAGCTTGTCCAGTTTTTAAGTAGATTAAAGATTTTATAACTTATTGTTAGGCTTTTGAAACAAAAAGGAGATCCAATAAATAAAGGAATATTGCAAAAAGCAGAGTCCATGTTGAACTGTAGATAAATGGCTATCTTCGGAACTAAGATATTTTAAAACCTTTAAAAAAATTCTTTTAAACGTTCAAACCAAAAATTTCATTATTTTTTGCACCTATTTTCTTTTTACAAAAAGGCACGATGAATATTTTTCAAAAATTCATGAATGCCTTTGGTTAAAATGTATATTGGATATATTGTAGAGCACTCACCAAGATATAAACTCATTAAAAATGATAAACTCATTTAAACATCCTGGGCCCCCTAGGCGAATATTTTGACTAGTATTGCGTATGTATGTATATGCTGTTGCATATATTTCAGCGTAATGCTGGTATAGTTGCCGGGGGTGCAAAATACATGCTGTAAACCCTAGAAATGCCTTTGGTTTTAAAGATTATATTTTACGGATTTATGAGTTTTTAACTGCTTTTCATAGTTATTATATTTGYGGTTGTTTCTTGATAGGTTAAGATTTGTGTTCTTATTTCAAATTTCTTTACCATCGGCTTGTTAAACTATTTTTTTTTTATTATTTGCCTTTTCTGCGGCTTATCGGCGATAGTAATTCCACGCCTGGCTCAGATGTGGCCATAATAGGTACTCCTTGGCCCTAGATTAAGGAATATGATTTAGAGGGATCTTGCGAGAGAATGGAGAACGGATTTGATTCTTGTTGATACTGTACACGATTGTTCATAGTTAATTTGAAGCTTTGTACAGCTGATTCCCATAACCCACACATATTAGGAGCGGTTGAATAGTTGCGATAACAGCGACCTTGGCTTTGTAAGAGTAGGAGCGTCAATGTATCGCATTGTGAGTATACTGATCCCATAACTTCCTTTTTGATTTATTTATATTTGAAAATTTAAGAAAAGTATCGGTTTTCCGACTTTTTGATACAACTGTGTTATATTTTATGTTTTTAGTGTGTATGCACTAATTTGGCGTTTAGTAGTCCCAGCTGTCTGTGGGGATATTCAGTGTCGATAGAACCGACAAACAATTAGAAACAGTGGATTCTAGTTTGATGGACTCTACACTTGTTACTTTCTTAATTTTAGGCAAGTTTAATAGTGTCGTTACTTGCTTATTGACCAATATTCTTTCGTTTTCATATCTAGCTTTTAGAACTTCCCAAGCCAAATTGAAATTATCGTCATTAAGAGGGGACTGTTTTATTATTATGCCTGCTTGACCTTTAGTTTTGTATATGAGATGATACAATTTTTGCGCTTGTGATAATTGAGGATGGTTTATATACACGGCCGTGAACATGTCCCGGAAGGACGGCCATTCTTCATAACATCCGTAAAATATTTCTGTGTCACATGCGGGCACCTCGATTTGGATGCCTGAAATTGCCTTTTGATCGTCTATTTGTGGCAGCTCTACTCTACTGTGGGGAGTAGATGCAGTTGCTTTAATTAGCTTCAATTGATCGGAGATCATAGCTTTCGTTTCTTCAAGCAGTTTTCGTATATATCGTAAGCCGATGATTTAAAATTTTGAGGTAGATCTGAATCGTCAGATTCTACTACGGCGTCATGAGCCGCTTGGAGTTTTATCCAAAAATTGTCGAGATTTATAATTTTGATTTCTAGTAACGATTCCGAGTTTTCGTGAATCGGTGAAGAGGCAAATCTAGTGCAGTATCTTGTTAAACTGTCACTTTCTGAAATAAATTTAAAAGCCTGTTTTGAGCATCCCAAACGGGTTTCACCTCAAAGTAGCGCACCTATATTCGGGTGGTATAATATCCTGTAGGGCAACATGTAACTGGGGGGATGTACATATATATTAAATATTTCGAGCTAGAAATCGCCTGACTGGATAGTTATATTTTGATATTCTAGCGTAGAATCCATGCGGTCGATGTCATTTTTAGACGAATTTGCACAGTGTTGTGCAATATCAAGGCTAGGCCGCCACCATTATCTAGCGCGCTATCCTTACGTAAAACGTTGAAACCAGCACAAATCAAAAGATCTGAGCAGCTGTTTAGCTTGATTTCTTGGACCGCAGCTATCGATACACGTTTCCGATTGATTAGTGCAACTATCTCGTCGATCTGGAGTCCGTTGCAGTTGAATTGTAGTATTCGCGTTTGCAGCGGGTGTCTGTGGATGAGTGACGTGTAGATGATGTTTGTTGCAGCTGTAGAACCCAAAGGGGCTGTTGTCGCACTGGAGTGTTGTTTGGCGACGCCATTGTTGAGTGTTGCGGGGGTAGACTCCTGCAGCATAGGGCAACATACGACGCACTCCACTCGTGGTGCCCAAGTCGGAACACGCCGGGAGGTGACACTAGCCAGTGCAAGAATAGAACTTCACTGTTGTGACGTTCCAACGTACAACAGTGTGACACACGGAACAGACTGGGCGAGGAACCAGGAGTTGCTGAGTGGTTCTCGTACAAGGATTGGAGCGGGATGAAGGTTGGAGGGGGCTAGTCAGAGTGGGAGTGGTTTTTTCTGTTTGAGCCCCTGGGGATGGTAGAGGTCTTCTGTTGGCTACTCGGAGGTGAGTGGCGGCGCATTGCGGGAACTGTGTGGAGATCGCACAGCCGTAGGGACTAATGTCGCAGTAGAGCATTGGCGATATGGGTCCTCGTAAGTCATGGTCCACTACCTATGTGTCTCAAGGCCTGAGCATGTCTTAAGATGGCTACATTGCATGTATTACCCCTGACCGATGTGGAATTTGGATGGAGTTTTTTGTCCCGAACGCAACAGATAAATTCCTCGGCCCCGGATTGAACTCAATGTCAGCTCGAGTCAGAAGGATACGGAGCAATCTTGCTGCAAGGTGTTGCTCAAGTGACGACAATCTTAAATTAATACTCACCTATCCATCGTGATCATAGACATCCGAAAAAGCAGTCCTTGGTCGGATAAAATTCGGGTCAATTCCGGTGCGTAGAACCGGCTGTCGTGGGAATTGCTCCATCCACATATTCCTTGTTGATATGTGAGATGAGAAAAAGGCGCCACGATTAACCTTTCCAATGCAGTTATCAAAGTGCTCAGGAATGCAGTTAAAGGAAAAGAAAATTTCCGTTTCCATGTTCGGATTCCCTTATATACAACAGAAAGATTAGCTATTATCATTGTCTTATTGCACCTAAATTCACAAAAAGGGTTAGAATATTGCCTCCAAATCGACATATAACAACTTAACATACAATTATGTTATTGGGCGTTATCATATGTTACGATATACTTTAGGAATGACAACGACAATTAAAATGACAACAAGAATTGGGTCGATCATATTTAAATTTTCAAAGCAATTAGCAACGACTCCGACGTAATGTCACACACAGACGAAAAGCAAAATTACTAATTGAGCAGTAGTAACAAATTATTCAATATTAAAAGTATCCCTAAAATACGATGGCGCTATTGAGCGTTATCATTCCTAATTTTAATTTCAAATTTTAATAACTTTCTTTGACGTTACGATATACTTGGAGACTCCGAGCTGAGAAACGAAACGACGATAAGAACAACTTGGAAACGACAACTTTGAAAAGAAAAGAAAAAACGACAACTGAAATGAATTTCAAGCTCAACAGAATAGGCCCTATGACCTACTTGTTGGACGTTTTAGTAGTCGCTTGTTTAAATGAGTATTCTAGTCTAGAGGCTCGAATTTGAAGCGTTTGTTTGCAATTGAAAAACATTCAATATTTTTACTATTTATTTGTTCATATTTTAAGAGTATAAAAAATAAAAAAATCAATGAGTTATGCGTCCTTTTGTCCACAGCTCCAACCGGTTCAGCTGCCCCACGCGTGAAAACTCATTTCGAATTTTTTATTTAGGTTGGTACGACTATCGTCAGTGATATCTGTG